GAATGGAATTACTGAAATATTTTCAACCTTTTGATGATATTCTAATTTACTGGCCAGCACCTGTAGACGACTGGCTCCTGCTGGCACGGTCCAGAGAGGAGACAGCGTCAAACACGCTGGTTGTGATCCCTCACTTGTGTGGTCTGGGTTTCAGAATAAAATGGCAGAAAAGCGCTTTACTCCCCTCCCAGAAAATAACCTTTCTAGGTCTAAATCTGGACTCAGGGGCGTTCACGGCCCGTCTCTCGGCACCGCGCGTGAACGCGCTCTCGTTCTGCCTGAAGCGCTTCCGCCTACACAGTTCGGTGCTGTTTGCGTTATGCCTCAGGCTTTTGGGTCTCATGGCGTCGGCTATTTCAGTGGTACCACTCGGCCGTCTACACATGAGAGATTCTCAACGCTGGGTGGCTTCTCTGGGTCTCTCTCCAGTGCGCCAGAGAGCGCGAAGGGTGACGGTCTCTGCAGCGTGCGTCACGGCGCTCCGCTGTTGGCGTCACCCCTCCCTCTTGGCACAGGGGGTGCCTTTGGGGTTGGTTCTCGTGAGGAAAGTGGTCACGACAGATGCGAGCCTGTGAGGTTGGGGGGGGGGGGGGGCTCCTGGAGAGTCGCTCTGTCAGGGGTGTGTGGAGCAGAGAGCTCTGGGGGACACACATATATTATCTGGTACTCCTCGCGGTCTTTCTAGCCCTGAGGCGCTTCCTGCCTTGTCTCTCCAGCCATCATGTCCTAGTGAGAACAGACAACACCATGACTGTGGCTTATATAAACCACCAGGGGGGGCTGCGCTCCATGCGGTTACACACGCTGGCACGCAGACTGATCCTATGGTGCAGCAGGCATCTCCTCTCAATCAGAGCCACCCATGTCCCGGGTGTTCTGAATCGGGGGGCGTATCTGTTGTCCAGAGGGACACCCCTGTACGGGGATTGGAGCCTGCATCCAGCAGTGTTGGAACAGATTTGGATCCGGTTCGGCACAGCCGTAGTGGATCTTTTTGCCTCCAAGGAGAATGCTCACTGTCCTCTGCGCGACCGTGACGCTCCACTCGGCGTGGACGCGCTGGCGCACGACTGGCCACGGGGACTGCTTTACGCTTTTCCCCCAGTGGCCCTGATACCACCCACCTTGCTGAGGGTACGAACCCAGCTCCACACTTTCATTCTGGTGGCCCCATACTGGCCAGCCATGCATTGGGTGGCGGACATTTTCCAGCTCCTGGAGGGCCAACCTTGGAAACTTCCGCTTCGCAGGGACCTGATGTCCCAAGCGGGAGGCTCGATCTTCCACCCTCATCCAGAACGGCTGGCCCTGTGGGCCTGGCCCCTGAGGGGTGCGGGCTAGTGTCAGCAGAGCTGCCCCAGGCAGTCATTCGAACCATACAGAATGCTAGGGCCCCCTCCACTAGGTCCCTATATGACTGTAAATGGAGGGTGTTTGAAGCCTGGTGTGAGGGCAGGGAGGTCTCACCCTTCCAATGCCTGGTGAACGTCATTCTGTCTTTCCTGCAAGACTTGTTGGATGGGAAGAAGGCTTTCTCCACCATTAAAGTGTACCTAGCAGCCATTTCCGCCCGACACTTGGGTTTTGGGAAGAAACTGGCAGGTCAACACCCCCTGGTGTGTAGCTTCATGAGGGGCGCGCGCAGGCTTCTCCCTGTGTCTCGACCCCTGGTGCCCTCATGGGATCTGTCCTTGGTGCTGTCGGCCCTCTCCGGGCCTCCATTTGAACCTATGGATGGCCTGGACCTTAAGATCCTGTCTCTTAAGGTGGTGCTACTCCTGGCTTTGGTATCTGCAAAGCGAGTTAGTGACTTACAGGCTTTCTCTGTGCACCCATCCTGCACCCAGTTTGCGCCCGGTGACATGAAGGTGTCCCTGAAGCCCAACCCTGCCTTTGTGCCTAAGGTGGTGGGCTCCTTTTCTCCTATTATCCTCACAGCTTTCTACCCGCCACCCTTCTCCTCTCCTGAGGAGGAGCGGTGGCACAAGCTGTGTCCGATTCGCGCGCTCAAGGAGTATGTGAATCGGACAGAGAACCTTCACAGGGGGGACCAGCTTTTTGTGTCATGGGGTGGGCCTCGTAAGGGGAAACCCGTCACAAAGCAGAGGCTTTCCCACTGGATTGTGGAGGCTATTTCTATGGCTTACTCCTGTCAGGGCATTCAGGCTCCTGTTGGGCTCAGGGCCCATTCTACTAGGGGCCTGTCTGCTTCTTGGGCCCTTTTTCGGGGGCTGTCAATCCAGGAGATTTGTGCTGCAGCAAGTTGGGCTTCTCCACTTGCATTTGACGCTTCTATAAGCTTGATGTTTCGGTCCCTGCAATGACTCACACGATTCTGAGTGTGGGGTCTTTGGCGGGCCAAGACGTATCCCTGTAGGTTGGTGATCGCTGGATAAGCTGTCTGGCAATACGGGAGTCTCAATATCCCATAGTGAGACATCGAAACAAATGTTAAGAAAGAGAACTTTAGGTTACTGTCGTAACCCCGGTTCTCTGAGTAACATGAGTGAGATGTCTCACCAGACAACCCTTCTTGCTGGGCGAAGCGAAAAGAGGTGTTCATCTTGAATAGTGCGTACGTTGGGACGCTTGCTACTTAATAGTAGCAGGGGGACGCGTACGTCACGGTCACTGGCCAATCAGGATTGGCGTATTGAGATAAGTGCTTCTGAGGAATCCGCGGAGGGGCGTATCCCATAGTGAGACATCTCACTCATGTTACTCAGAGAACCGGGGTTACGACAGTAACCTAAAGTTATGTCCAAGAGAAATGGAAGTCCATGGCATCGCAGAGACCGCCAACATACCCCCTTTATGCCGCCATCGCCTGAACTTTTATAAAAAGGAAACGGTTGCACCACATTACCGCCATGGTCTGACCACTTATAAACGACCTGAGGGTCCCTGATGCCGCCAGGCGTTGCAGCAAATAGACGGCATTGTTTTGTAAAAACGGCAACAGGTGGAGGTTTCTAGACAGTTGCAAGAGAACCACTTTATTTTCTCTTTTCCTCCTGAAAACAGGATTTGAACTTTGCTGAACTTACAGCCCTTTTCTCTCAGTTTTCTCCGTTTCTGGTTCCATGACGTCACTCTCGTGAAGCGCATTTGTAGTCCTGGACAAATATCGTTCTCCTATTCGAAAATCATCAGATGAAAAGAGAAACGGCTTCAAGAAACAAAAGAAGTCCAGTTGCCCTCATTTGAACCCTTTTGGACTACCGTGACCTGGATGACTGAGAACCTTCACCAGCAGATACGTTATAGGTAGAAACTGGATCTTTTTTCTAAGTTTAGGGTTTCCGGGGAACCCGACAAGCTGCCAGGAGAACCAGCTCCCCCTTAGCGCTCTTGTAATTCCAACCCTGTCCAGGGGTGGACTGAGACCAAAACTCGGCCCTGGCATTTTTACGAATCATTGGCCCTCAGTCGGCCCTCCCCATTGGGAGAGTGGTGGGGGTGGGGGGAGTTGCCATCCGCAGACTCGTCTCTAGGCTGAATGTGAGATCCAATATTGACTGGGACTGTTAAATTACAAGCAGGGCCAGACCACTGCGACCAGGAGCCCTGGCCTTCCAGATCAGCTCATTCTCCATGGGCGGAGATAAGCAGAATTAGCTACATGCTAACGCGGTAAAACAACTCCTACGTCATCACCCTACTGTGTTTTTCTTGCTAAAAACGCCAGGAGAAACTCTGTTAGCTTCGGATTACCATGTAGCTAATGTTCTGCAGATCACCAACTGTGGAGTATGTCGGCCAAAGCTGGGCAAGTAGCCCACTTGGCTAAGCGGCCCACCGGGACAGTGCCAGAATGCCAGTCCACCCCTGCCTGTATCCGAATCTGGATTGGGAAGTTACACCCGAGCCGAGTCTGAAACCACATGATTGGATTGGGACATCCCTGAGTTTTCTCCGCAGGGTGGCTGGGCTCTCTCTTAGAGATAGGGTGAGAAACTCGGTCATCCGGGAGGGGCTCAGAGTAGATCTGCGGCTCCTCTACATCCACTCATTTAATAGAAAAACTACGCATGTTCAAAATTACTTAGACTTTTGATGCTGAAGCCCTCCTCCCCTTTTCATCTAATGATCGTGGCTAACAGAAATCCTCCAGAATGTGTCTGCTCTTCTCCGAAGCGGTAAGTCTTGTGTGAAAGCGTGCATACGCGAATGCGCACACGCTCGTTAACGCAGGGGGAGGGAGGTAGGAGGTTGAGGTCTGCAAGCCCATGCCTCTTTCAGAAGCGTTTTCCCAAAAGGAAGTGTGGATGAAGTCTCCGCCCATACTTGACTCCCACTTTAAAGAAAATCTGAGGTTTTTAACGTGGACACGGGGTAGGATTGTTTGTTTTCAGAACCAAAATCAGTACTTTTGTTAAATATTTCATTTCTGTACTCGTAGAGGATTGGCCAGGAGCTCTCAGCTGGTCTTAGCTCCACCATCCCCCGGCCCCAGTCCACCCTGGAACCCATGAGCCGACCAGAAAGGGAGGTACAGCCCTGCTACCCGTATCACCTTGGCAACAGTACCGCCTCCTGCCTCCCTCAATAACCATAACTGCTATTTTGTCCGTCTGTAAGAAACGGGACTGCTGGACCGTTTCTCCAGGTTCCTCCCAGACCGAAAGGTCTCCTGTCCATCACAGGGAAGAACACACCTGTCCAGGTCTCCTGCCCCTGTGATGGACAGGTCTCCTGGCTGAAGCGCGCTAGGGTTGAACTGGTACTTCCGGTTGTTAAGGTAACTGGAGCAGGTGTGATCCACTGATTCGGAGATGAACGTTTGTGATTAGTTAAGCCAGATCTAACCGGATCTACTCCATTGTATCACGCGACTCCCGCAGCCCTTAGGTCGTCACCAGATAGGTGACTGCTGCCTGGGACACGTAGTAACCATGGCGACCAATTTATCGATTAGTATTAGTTAGCTGACCGATCAGAGATTCGTAGTCTTAGCTGCTAGCATAGCACCTCCTCATGAACGATCAATCAGAACTCACCTTCTGGTGTTCCATCACCGATACTGGAACGAGAGGACACACCAGCGCCTACGTCACAGAGCGGCTACGCATCACTTCCTGTATAGCCTATCAAAATAAAGGTCTTTGTCCATGTATTTCCTGTAGGAGCTGCAAACCAGCTTCATCTTTATTTAACAAGCGAGATTCACATTAACCTTATTGCACAAGCCAAGAAGCTGTAAAATATTACCAATAAAACAAGAAGGCAAGTACGTCCCAGTGGTTGAGTCAGAGGACCCCAAAGACCTTTACAGTCCTTCATCCTTTCACACACAGGTGGGATGAGCCTAGGCTCCACAGGGTCCCTGACCACCAGGCCCCAGAAACTTAAGTTAGTGTTTGAACCGTTTTATTACAGAGAAGCAGAACTTTAATAAAGACAGGAACCAACATCCCACCACCACAGCTGACCAGTAGCACGCCCACTCACCTGTCAGAGCGGTTTCTAGAGACTCCTACAGGCAGATTTGGTTCAGTCCAGCAGGCACCAACCCGGTCTACTGCTATCACCCGAGTCATGCACTGCTAGGCACCGGGTCATCCAATGGATTTTCTGCATAGCTGTCAGCAGCTGTTGGTGTAAAGAACCGGAGCCACTCAGGACACTTTCTGCCTTCAACATGAAAGTATGTCAAATCCTACGGACTGCTCCTTATCGAAACAGCAGCAGCTCAACAGGTGGAGCGGGTTGTCCAGAAGGTTGCAGGGTCAATCCCGGCTCCAGAGAATGCTGCTGTTGTGTCCTTGGGCAAGACTCTTACCCCACCGTAACTGCTGGTGGTGGTCGGTGCGCCCCAGGGCAGCTGTAGCTCCATGGTAGCTCATCACCACCATTGGGTGGATGATACACGGACTCTGGAAGGCGCTATACAACAGCGGGTCATTTATCACTGAAAACCTCTGCTGTAAGACTCTCAAGGACTTCATACAGAAATCAAACTTTCCAAGCACCCATACAAAACCATGAGGCCCTTATCCTGGTCCACAGCCCCACCACCCTGCAGGTTTCATCAGCCTCTTCAGCTGGTACTCATGTTCAGTCCAGACCATCTGCTGAGGACCAGAACCCAAGGGTTAGGCTTAGCTAGGCAGAACAACACACTTCTGTTCTGTTCAGGTCGGTTCTTGTCGGACTCATCACCACGCTAAGTAGGAGACGTTCTCTTGGGTCTGATGAAAGATCATTGACTCAGCATGTCAGAGGCCCCGCCCACTGCATCTGGCGTTTCCATCAGAGCCCACCTACTACAAACACACAGGAGTTTGGTGCTGGACTTTATTCATCTCTTCAGTTGAACGTTTCTCAGTTGTTCTCCTGCAACAGGAAGTCATCATAACGTCCTTTCTTAAAACGTCTGCAGGTGTACGACAATAACTTACGCTTTACAGTGGTGGCTCTGAACCAGATTCCTGAACACGTCATGTCTGATCAGAGCTACATTTTAATTATAAAAGTTTTCTATCATCATCATGTTGCCAGGTTAACTTCGTTATGAAGGAGTGGGAACATGCAGGGGTGGAGCTAAGCTTTACAGACAATTTAGTGATATAAAAACATAAAAGTTTGTTTTTAATGATGGGAGGAGCCAATCAAGCAGCAGAACAGAGGAAGGGCGGGACTACGTAGGTGACTTAGGTCCTTTTGTTGCCTTCTATGCTGCTTCACACGGATGTGACGATGTAGGAGCCACGCTCACCTCCTCCGTCTCCGCCCTTGGGCTCACGCTTCTTGGTAACAGGGGTGGGGATGAGTGAAGGTCTTGTGGGCGGGGCTGAGCTGCTGGAGGGCGGTGGGGGAGCCACGCTGGTATCAGCGCTGCTCTTCCGGGGGCTAGGTGTGTAGTTGAAGGGGCTGACACGAGCCGCTACAGCCCCGCTGCGCTGCTGAGTACGAGGCTGATGGCAATCAGGCGGCGGTGGCGGCTTGTCGTCTAGGTTCTCGCAGCTCCGCCGCAGGTTCAGATTGGAGGAACAGGAGGAAATCTTGGAGGGGGCGGGGCTGTCGATAACTGGCGGGGAGTTGATAGCGGTGGGCGAGCGTGCTGAGCAGGAGGAAGGCGAGCGTGGGTTATTGACAGGACAGTCTTCCAGACGAACCCACACATCGTCTGATTTGGCAGCTGTGGAGTCGCTGCTGCTTTTGGCCTTCCGCCATGTGCCCTTTGACCTCATAGTGTTCTCCTCTTCGCTACGTCCCTTCTCACTGGACTCGGATGATGCGGACAGCACTGATGATGAGCTTCCTGTCCTTTTCCACGTGCCAACGCGGGGCAAGGACGTGGAGTGTTTTCCACCGCTGCCTCCGGCAGAGCTGCTGGAGTTCTCCCGTTTCCAGGTTCCAGTGCGGCTCAGATGAGATGATGTCACATCCTGTGGGCGGGACGGACTCTCGGAGTGAGAGCGGTTAACGTCATGCCGCCTGCTTGTGGAAGGCAACAGACCATCTGGGCTGGTTGGAGACTCTGGCGCTGCTGAGGACAAGGACTCTTCAAGCTTCCTCTTCAGGGTTGGACTTGGAGCTTCTTTGATGAAGGTCGACTGGCGAACAAGTGCCGGCTTTTCGGGCTCCACCTTCTTTTTCTTGGTGGATGTGGAGCTGCTGAGTCTCGATGCCGACTCACTCCGCGGGATGCTGTTGGAGCTCTTTGAGACGGTGCTGGTGGCAGCTCTGGAAGAAGTTGATGATGATGCTGCACTTCCTGGAGATGCCGTGCGTGGCAGCTGAGACACTTTCCCTGTTTTCTGATTGGCCGGGGCAGCGGAGCGTGAGGGTGTAGAGTCTCGAGAAGACCCACCTGCTCTGTCGGCTCCATCACTGCTTCCTGGAGCTTTGGTCATCGCTGAAGCTCTTGGCTTGCTCCGCCCTCTGGCTGCTGGTTCCACCCGGGGTTTACCGGTTATCAGACTTCGGTACACCTTCTTCCCGCCTCTCAGGGCCCTTGCCTCCTCTTCCTCTTTCCTTTTGGCCTCCAGTGTGCTACGCTCACCTGCCTTCAAAATCCTAGCTGCACGCTTCACCTGCAGCACCTCCTCCTCCTCCTCCTCCTCTTTATTCTTATTGGCTGTCAACTCGTGGAAGGGCGAGCCAACCGACTTCAGGGACAGGACTGAGTCGGAGTCTGATGACGGCTGGCGGGACAGCGATGAAGCAGCTGCAGCAGCATTCAGACTGCTGACTATAGAATTGGCTCCTTCCTGAATCGCCTTCCAATCAAACGACTCAGAGTCAGGAGAGGCGGGGCTTCTTGGGGTCTCTGAAGGTTCTTCCTCAGCCAGGATGCCCTCCTCAGCTTTGGCAACAGGAAGTGGCGTAACGATGGCAGCAGGGGACAGCAGCGAGGCAGCTTTCTTCTTCTTCTTGGGCATGGCAGAGCTAATACACTCTTGCAGGAGGTCATCCTCAGAATCTATACTGAGTGAGCTGAGTGACGAGTTCCTTGAGAAACAGACAGGTGTGTCCTCCACGTGGAACGCTTTAGGGGCGTAGCCACTGGCTGCAGGGGGGCGGGGCTTCAACTCCACCTGTGAAGAACAAGCAGAAGGAGTCACACACCTTGTCTGAGCTCAGAAACTTCAAGAGCCCTGTCATGTTTTTCAACTGGTTAATGTGGTCGGTGCAGGCAAAGTTAACCCTCGTTTAACATAATTAACTCGGTTATGAGCAGGTAATCCAAACGGGTTCACATGAAGGCAACTAGACTTCTCTGGTTTCTTGAGGACGTTCTGCTTCTCATCAGAGGAGATTTGTCAATTCCAGACTTTTTCCACAAAGAAAGACAGAAAGTTCTCACAGTCTGCAACAGAGTGGATGGAGGCTGTAGGAGAGACGATGCTGCTGATGGTATTAAACAGCACCTTGGGGTTCCCTTTGCTCTGGGACACCAGGTTGGAGAAATAGGAAACCCTAGCGTCTCTGACTGCAGAGGTAAAGGATGACAGAAGATCCTTTAGGTGCAGCAGATGGATGTGGAGATGGGTTTTCTTCCACAAACGCTCATTTTTTCTGCATTGGCGCTTCAGGCTGCGAAGGCTGTCATTAAACCAGGAAGTAGGGTTCACTGCAGGAACTGGTCTGGTTCTGACAGGACAGATGTTGTCCAGAATGGAGAGGCAGTGCTCGTTAAACTGAGAAGTTAAGGAATCTGGGTCGTTATCAGAAGAACAGGGTGGATCAAAAGCAGCAGAACATTAGCTAGCTGTGCTCTCATTAAGAAAACGAGAACTAACCATACAGCGAGCAGGAGGTGGGGACGCAGAAACTGACAAGTTTAAGAGTGGTGATCTGAAATATAAACGACTAAATTCGTCATTTGCATGTTTTACTGTGTGGTCGGTTGTTAGCTGCTAAGCGGGACAGTGGAGCTGGTTTCTGGGTCGGAACCGGATCAGAACCGGTGCCTGAACCTCCAGGAGAGGATCAGTGCGGCTTTTAAAAACACCAGCTGGACTGGCTCGCTGGTGTCTGGGTCGGATCCAGCCGACAGAAGCCCGCATGAGCTCCAGAACCGGATCACAGGTGTCTCTCTGAGCTAAACTAGGTTAGGTGAGCGGATATTAGCGAGTTTGAGGCCGCTGACAGACGCTCATTCGTATTAATATTACATTACCTGAGCGATACTACTTTAACTGTCGGGTACATGATAGTAATCTGTACTATATTGTGATGCTAGCACACGAGTTTAAGCCAACATGGTTAACTCAAGCTGCCCCCCCCCCCACCCGCTGCTTCTCCTCAAATGGCAGCACAACCTCTCCTCTTTGGCCGATGGTTTCTCCCTCTGGTTGGTCTCTGCTCTCTGGGGCGAGCAGCAAACTCAGAACTTTACGGTTCTGGTCCATCAGAAGTGCAATAATAAACATTTAAAGTTTCCACTGTGTCAGCGCCGCGGTAGAATCCAGATTTTCTCTGGATTAAGCGAACAGGACTCCCTCAGCTGACCTCACTTGGTTTGGAAAAAAAAACTTTCCCACAAAAAGACTCTAAAAGCCCGACCCTGTGGAACCAGCTACCTCTGAACATTAAGCTGTATCCATCTTTGGCTGTTTTTAAAGGTCGATTGAAGATGGTCTGGCTCTCACCTGTTTTAACTGGTTTTAACTGGTTTTATTTATTTTTCTTTGCTATGATTGATTTGACTCTTGTGATCCACGTTTTATTGGCGCCGTGTTCGGCGCTCCAGGGATTACGGTTTGGGATGATGGAAAGCGCTGCACACATAAAAGTTGATTGACTGACCCAATGGCTGTTCTGCTGGTGGCACCATGGCTGTTGGGGTTAAAATGTGTTATTATTACGTGGTTTTCAGCACGGTGACTGGTAGGGAGCTGGTACAAGACCTTTAAACTGCGCTGAGCTGAGTCAGGTGAACTTGTGTTTACTTGTAAACCTTTTATTATAAATACAGGGTATCTGCAGGTGTAAGAGAGCCAAATTGAAGACTTTTTAAGACCTTTTTAAGGCCACTTTGACCAAATTTAAGCTATTTTTAAAATTAAATTTAAGCTATAATTTCCAGCTATTGCCTGGAACCGGTGCTAACCACGTCGCGAACGTGGGATTAGCCATCCAGTTACCATTAAACTTGCACTTCCCCACATCGCAAGCTCCCACTAGCTTAACCAGCTAATGTGCTCATCTAAAAATAGCCCCCTTTCACAACCAACTGAACATGTTCGGTTCCGCTTACGCCAACATCATACACAAAAAATGCTGAACGCTAACTAGAAATTCACGAAATTTTATAGAAATAAAAGAATCTTGTTTATTGGGTCTTTGGTAATTTAAGACCTCTGGAAACTGTATTTAAGGATTATTTGTAATTTTTAAGGATTTTTAAGGCCTTAAATTTGGAAAAGCTAATTTAAGACTTTTTAAGGACCCGCGGATACCCTGTAAATATTAAAGATTACAGTGAAACAGCATTTATATCTCAGAGGGAGGTTTCTCTCTGCTGCTGTGGTGTTGTTACCTGTACAGGCACATGTCCTGCTACCTGACGCAGACTCACCTCAGCAGGAGGGCTAGATTTGGCTCCTCCTTGCCCGTTATCTGGCTCCTCCTGTGGTGGTGAAGGTGGAGCAAACTCCTTGTTGTTGTTCTCCTGGTCGATGTCGCTCAGCGAGCTCAGCGACGGGTTTCTGGAGAAGCAGACGGGCGTGTCTTCACAGGAGAACTTCTGCTTCTCGTCTGACGCCGTCAGACTGGCTGTAGCTTTGCTCCGAGGGAAGACGGCAGCAGTCTGCTGCTTCCTCTTCCTGCCTTCATCCTCTTTCTTTTGTTTGTTTCTGTCCTCCTCGTCCTTTCCTCCACAGTCTTCATCATCAAAGTCCAGGGAGCTCAGGGAGTCATTCCGTGAGAAGCAGCAAGGCGTTCCCTCGATAGGCGTGTAGTGGCGTGGGGAATCGAAGGCAAATCCCGGTTTTGACTTGGAAGCCGTCGTTGGAGTAGCTCCGTAAGACGGCCGCTGAGGCATCGGCTTCACAGGGGACGTGGGCTTCTTCTTCTGCAGCTGCTGGCAGAGAGGAGGCGGGCTTGGGGGGGAGGTGGCAGGAGGAAGGGGTGGAGCTTGCAGGTCTTCGCTGTTTGCCATCACTCTGATTGGCCTCCTGGATTTAGCTTTGGGCATGGCAGCATTTATGCATTCAGCCAGTATGTCATCGCCGTTCTCGCCTTCGGGATAGTCTGCCCTCCTCCTTGGAGCAGAGGCAGGGAGGGACAGTGGGGGCGGGGTTGCTGCAACGTCTTCATTGGGTGGAGAATCGATGGTGAGGTCACTAAGCGAGGTGGCAGTGGAGAAGTTGAGGGGCGTTCCCTCCACACAGTAAACTCTGGGCACGTCCTCAGGGAGGGGAGGAGGATCCTTCTTCTGCTGCGACTGGGCTCTGCTCTGCGGTGGGAGGAGCTTGTAGACAGGAAGTTGACTCGTTTTTCGTGGCACTGGCTGCTGAGGTTTCTTTGGTTTCTGCGATGGCTTGGGCATGGCCATGGTGATGCATGCAACTAAGATCTCGTTATCGTCATCATCCGATTCATCCAAAATGGGTTTGGCAGCTTCCTCCGTCATCTCCTGGTTCCCTCCCACCTTCTCCTCTTTCGTGATCTTCATTTCTGTGGCGATGTACGGCTCGTCCAAACTCAGTGCGCTCAGACTAGAGGCTCGGGAGAAGCCATGTGGCGTGCTCTCTGTGGCAAAGTGCAAAAAGACATCAACTCCATTTTCCTCCTCCGCCTTGGCCTTCTGCTTCTCCTCCGTTGTCTGGGCAGGCGGCGGCAGCGGCGGCGTCTTGGCTCGGCTGGGAGGCATCGTTTGACCCGGGCTGTCGGGGAGGTCACTCGGGCTGACCACTCCACTGGGCACGCCGCTGCAGGGCTCGCTGGAGCGCACGGAGCTGGCGATGGAGGACGTGGAGAAGCTGTCGAGCGAGCTGACCGACGTGCAGCGGCTGAACATCAGCGGGGTCTCCTGGGCATAAGGCTGCTCGGGTGGACTCTTTGGAGTCCGTGCACCTGATGATGATGTTGCATGCTGGTGATGGTGGTGGTGGGAGTGGCCGTGGTGGTGGTGGTGACCTCGTCGCCCTCGTGTGGATGGAGCAGCAGCTGTCTGACTCTCCGCCTCCTTCTGCTGCCGCCGGCGCCGCTGCTGCTGCTCGTGAGAGTCTTTCTCGCTGACAGGAAGTGTTGGGTAATCGCTGCTGGTGCCGACACCATCTTTCCTCTTCCTCTCAAGGATATCAGCATCTTCTTCCTCCTCCGAAGACAGAGACGACAAGGAGCTTCCTCTGGAAAAGCAAATGGGTGTGTCCTCAACGCAGTATGTCTGGGTTGACTCTTGGTTGCTTTTGGTGACAGCCCGCGAAGACGCTAGGGGGCGGAGTTTGGACGATGAGGGAGGACCCAGCAAGGGAACGGCCCTGTCTTCCTGTTTAAACAGTGGCTTGTGGCCGGTGTCAGCACCGTACTTCAGGCTGTAGTCGATGGGCTGCTCGGGCGTGGGGTCGGCGCTGTAGCTGGACGGGGCGGGGACCACGGCGTAGCGTGGAGGAGGCGCCGACCCCATGCGGCTGCTGCTAGGTCCAGACTCGCCAACGTTTCTGCGCAGCCTGACGTCCTGCTCTCGCTCGTCATCGCTGTCGATGCCACCCCGATGACTCGGGCTCTGCCGCCCAGAGTTCAGCTGCTCGTCAGAGTACTTGAGGCTGTAGTTGATGGGCGTGTCCAGCTCTGCACCGTCATCGTCCGCCATGTGGTTGGCACTGCGGATCTTGTGAGCCAAGTCAGCGGGGTACTTCCTGTAGACGCAGCACTTGTTGCCACTCTCGTCAGAGGAGTAGAAGAGGTCGGACGAGGGCTTGGTCTTGCCGCGGTTGCCGTACCCATCGGTGCTGGTCACGCTGTTGAGACTGTCGCTGGAAGCCCGAACACTGGGTGGAAACACCGACCGAGCGTAGGGCGCGTCCTCGCCCGTCCTCTTTGATCCCTCTCCGCTCTTTGGGCTGGAGAGCACTGGTGTGTTGGTATAAGAGCGTGTCACACCACCTGCTCCTGCACCAGCACCATTACAACCCCGCCCCTTCCTCTGTGCCGCTTTGGGGCTCAGGTTGTCGATGTTGTCAAACGTTTCCGACAGCTGCTGTGCATCCAGCTCCTCGAACAAAGCTTTCTGTTTGCGGGCGTGCAGCGACGGGGTACCGGCGCCTGGTGAAACCACACTGGTGTCTTTGTAACGAGCTGGCCGGTTAGCCATCAGGTTCCGCAGGGCGGCGGCGCTTCCCATCGCAATCATCTTGTGCCGTGAGTGGATGAGGTTACGCAGCATGCCCACAGCGCCCAGCTCCCACAGCGTCTCCTGGTCCTTGGCGTCCCGGGCCGACAGGTTCCACAGAGTCCCACAGGCGTTGGACACGATGGTTAAGCTGTGAGACTTAAGGTGCTGCAGCAGCGTTGGCAGGCAGCCATGCTCACGCAATATCTGCCTGAAAGACAAGACCCGGGGAACACAGTGGTTAACATTGTAGACTTGGTCCTACAGGATGTCTGACTCTGGCGTTTACCTGTGCACCTCGTTGGTAGCAATGAGGCTGGAAACATTTCGGAGGATCCCGCCGCCGCTCTCGATGATGGCGAGTGTGTTGGTGTGGCTGCGATGCGTGAGCGTTCCGACCAGAAACGCCAGCGCTCCGTCCACGGTGCAGATATCAGCCTTGTTCTCCGTGCAGTGTGCCGACAGGTTCCATAGCGCGCTCAGTACGGACTTAAGGGTGGACTCCTGAAACACGCAGACAGCGTGAGCGGCGGCGGACTGAGCATGCTCAGTAAACACCGTCTTTTATTTACCTTCTGAACTTCGAGAGCACAGCCCATGAGAGCTCGCACGCTGCCCACCTCACGCAGCGTTTTCTTACTGTTCACGTCAGCACGCCACGAGAGGTTCCTGAGGACGCTGGCTATCACCTGGAAACACAGCAGACCGTCGTCAGCCAGCTGGTCCTGTCCAAGCCCGTTGCTATGCCAACAACCTACCTGCTGCAGGTCTTCACTCTCAGACTTGAGCTGGGCAACCATTGCTCTCATGCACCCCTTCATGGAGCACAGTGTGGCCTGATGGGAGAAAATACACCAGTGCTGGTTTCTGGCTGGCCGTGGAAAAAAGGCGTCAGTAGAACTCGCGTACCTTATTGGCAACGTCTCCAAAGGTGAGGTTGGTGAGCGCCATGCCGGCATATCGCCGCAAAGTCACGCTATAATGATCGGTGCTCAGCCCGAACATCTCACAGTCCACCTGCAGAAGCTCTGCCACAGCCTGCAGACCTCCTGCAGGGACAACACACACACACCAGAATACGGGTCAGAACCAGTAACAAGCACTCAACCCGGACATGGTCCAACAGACTCACCCAGCTCATTCATGGCATGGCGGTGCTCTTCATCAAAGGACAGCTTCATGAGGACGCAGACAGCTGGACAGATCTGATGCTCTAAAGGGGAAGGCACTGGAACACACACACACACACACACACACACACACGTTTACAAACCAGGACGTGACGCGCTGTGGTCACATGACCTACGACTAACTCACTGGGGTTGTCCTCCTGATCGACGCCCCTCTCGTGGTTCTCCTGCCAGCTCCAGCACGCCTCGCAGTAGTGGCGCACCTGCTCCAGCAGGTGCAGCACGCGGATCTCTCGCCGCCCTCTCTTGTCGTCTGGCTGACTGTGGACGATGTTGTGCAGTGCTGCCGATGCTCGTGCCCGAGCCTCCTTACTGCCGCGAGAATTACCTGAATAACCAGACAGGCGTGAAAACAAACACACGCATGTTTGCTGGTGAGGAACGCGGTGGTTACCTAGCAACAGGGAGTCCTTGTCGTTGCCGTGCAGCAGCTGGATGAGCAGCGGCAGACAGCCGGACTGACGCATAGCTATGCAGGAGTCCTGAGAGCTGGACATAGCAAGCAGCGTGCGGGACATGTCGTCCTTATCGTGGGTCCCCAGCATGGACAGAAGGCTGTACACCATTTCTACCTGATGGGCGAGGCAGGACAGCGCTGTTGATGGAGCACATTTCCTTCACAGAGGCAAGTCAGTGTGCCTTCCACTAGCAGGAACATTTACATCAACGTGACAGAAAACAGTTTCAGATGAAAAAGAAACAAAAGTTAAAAGGCGAGCAGCTACGGCGCAGAAGGTGCAGCACAACAACTTTTATTAAAGGTTTCTAGAGTCGGGACGTCTGAGGTCATGAGGAAGCTGATTCCATCTGTGAGCAGCATCGTAGCTAAAAGCGGCTTCACCTGTTCGGTTCTGACCCGGTTCTACCAGCTGACTGCTTCCTCAGGTCCTCAAGAGCCCTGCTGGGTGTAGATACCTGAAGATCTGACATGTATGCTGGCCCCATGCCACTGAGTGGTTTATAAACTAGTAGTAGCACTTTGAAATGGATTCTGTAGTGTAACGTGATGAAGGAGCCATTTCTACCCTCTAACAGCTGTTTTCTTTTGACACAGCGCCAGAGTGCATGAAACAGCCTCAAGGTCATGCATTGGCTTCTAAACTGTTTACGTTCCTGCGATGAAGACAGAAGAACGAAGAATGAACTCTTTTCTTTTAATTAATCAAAGAACTCTATTTTAATAAAGCTAATCCATCAAAGTGTTAGTCAATAATAAGATGTGACCGACCTGTGAAATTAAAATATTAATTACTTTATTATGATCTTAGAAATGATAAGTCTGTGACTTTAAGGATTCCAACAGGACTCATTTCACGTAGTGTTAAAAAGACAAAACACATTCTCTTAACTGATCCAATCAGAATTTTACAGATCTGACGGAGGCGTGCTTCTGACGGTGTTTGGTAAATTTCATTCACCACTAAACCATAACATCCGAGGTATAAAACTACGCCACGTCAGCTCTAACGCCAGTTCAAAGCGTTCCAGAGCGAGCGTCGGAGTGGCCAATCCTGACCTTTAACTCTTCAACCGAAAGAACCACGACGAGCTGAGAAAATCCAGTCGCTATAACAACCAGCGGCAACAACAGCTCCTTTCAGAATAAAAGCTCCACCGACCCAGGCTGGGTCTGAACAGACGCCAATAAAAGAGTCGTGTGCCGGAGGTAACTCAAGACGGGTCTGGTCGGAACCGCGGCTTCTTCCACCAGCTCGGTTTCCAGAGAGGGTCCGCTGGACCTCGGCATTCCTGATCTACAAGAGGACTTCCACAAGGCAGGTAGACCCGGCTTGATGGTACCTCATGCGGTTCTGAAACTAACCCAAGCTTATTTCAAAACAACAACTTCAGTTCCCGTCAGAACTAATCGCTTCTTCGGATTTGCTGGTTCTGATTTACAAGACACGTCATCCATTTTTAGTTACACTATACATTTAGTTCTGAAGTCAGGCTAGTTTAATTCGTTAGTAATAAAATTCTTAACTTTTAAACTTGACTCTCTATTCTGTTGTCTCTGAGAGAATACATAACGGTCACATGATCTCTGCATTAAAAAGATCCGATCTTCTGGTTTAAATAACCCACCGATCCGTAAGGTGGATTTCATATTTACTATGGAATCCCACGCCTTATGGCTCATTAAATAAAATGTAAGAACCTCTCATTTTCCTTACAGTAGTTTACGTGTGACCAGCGTGGGGATCTAAGAACGGGAGTGATGTGTTCGGTTCTCGTGGTTCTCTTTAAGACTCTAGCAGCAGCATTCTGAACAAACTGCAGCTGCTTCGCAGCTTTTTGGAAGACCAGTTAGAAGACCATTGCAGTAGTCCAGCCTGCTGTAGATGAACACATGAATGAGTTTCTCTAGGTCTTGTCTGGACATGAGACCTCTGAGTCGTGCTGTCTGATGCAGATGATAAATCGCTGATCTAGTTCTAGCCTTAATGTAACCAGTGAAGCTCAGGTCTGAATCAGTTATGACACCAAGACTTCTAACCTGGGTCTTCATTCCTCTGGAGCCGAGCTGAGCAGTAACCTCCATCCTGTCCTCCTGACTCCCAAACACGATAACTTCAGTCTTTGTTTAACTGGAGGAAGTTTGACTGCATCAGTCCTTAAGTTGCTCACAACACTGACAGAGTGAGTCTGGAGGACCACAGTCACTAGGTGATAGAGCTAGGTAGACCTGGGGGTCATCTGCATAACTATGATAGGTGATGTTGTTATTGTGTATGACCTGACCCAGGGGGAAGCATGTAGAGGTTGAAGAGCAGTGGTCCAAGAACTGAGCCTTGGGGGACCCCACATGTCATAGTGATCAGCTGTGATAGAAACAACCCGTCTTCTAGATGAGATCAGGACCAACTATGGACTGTACCTGAAGGTCCCACCCAGGTTATGAGCCTATCAGAAGGATGCTGTGGTCCTCAGTATCAACAGCTGCAGTGAGATGGAGCATCATCAGGACAGATGTTCTACCTGAATCTGTATTTAGACGAATATCATGTAGTACTTTAATCAGTGCCGTCTCAGTGCTGTGGTGTTGTCTACAGCCTGACTGGAGACTATCCAGCAGCTCGTCTCTAAAAGCTGTTCAGCTGGATCAGAACAGCTTTTTCTATCATGTCCCATGAAAGGAGGTTAGAGATGGTTTGTAGTTACTCATCTCTAAGGCTCTAGTTTCCTTTTCTCCAGAAGAGGTTCAACAGCAGCAGTTTTCACTGATGGGAGGAAAATACTGACGTTAAGGAACAGTTAACAGTTTCACTGCATCAGCTCCTAAGCAGCTAAAACCTTTCAGAAGAAGTGAGTTGGCAGGTTGTCCAGACAGCAGGTGGATGAGTTTAACCTTAACTGCGTTCTCCAGCGTTTCAGCGCTGATCACGCTGGAAGCTGCTGTTCTAGCCAGACTGCTGCTGTGGTCCGGTTGTGATGGATGGTCTGATGTTTATGATCTTCTCATTGAAAAAGGAGGCTAACTCATTAGACAGTTATGAAATGAAACCAGGGTTCAACCGTGTTGGAGACTAGTTAGCCTCTCACTAGTAGCTAACAGAACACGGGTTAATATGACCACTGATGACTTTGGGTTGAAAGGGTGCAGCTGCTGTCTGGAGGTCTCGTGGCGATCCGGTAGGTGACGCTCAGCTTTGCTGCGTTCTCTTTTCTGACCTGTCGCTGATGTGGTGAACCTCCATGGAGCTTTTTGTTTGCTACAGACGAGTCTGACCTTTTCAGGTGCGGCGGTGTCGAGGACTTCAGTTTTACAGTAGAAGTGATTTAAAGGGAATCAGCACAGCTGGTTGTCAGACACGTTGATGCATGATGGGTGAGGTCAGCTGAGGTGTGATGTGTAGCCGGTGACGCGTGAGCGACAGAGTCACAAGCAGCTCCTCCTCCACCTGCAGAGGACGCTAGGAAGGAGGCCCAAGTTACCTTAGTTCCCAGGTGGCTGGTGATGCGTCTAGGTACGGAGTAGCTGGTCTCATTGGCCGGCTCCTGGTCCAATCGACTTCCAGAACTCTGAAAAAACAAAACATAATTAAAAACGAGAGAAAACTTTTAACTAATCAAAACAAAGGTCAGCATGCTCACCTGAGCACCCGGCACACCACTGCCATCAGCTGCACTCGGAGCGCCCTCTGTCTGCACTCAAACAGTTTTCTCAGGTGAGACCATGTGACTGGGTTTGGCAGGTGTTACAAACCTGAGAGGTGGCCTTACCTGCAGCTGAGCTCCAAGTCTCAGAATGTCCTTCTCTATCTGCTGAATGCGAGACACGCGGGTCTAAAGGGCAAAACACACAAATCACCAGATAACCCGCTTCACGTCGGAAGCATCACAGTCTACAGGCGATGCAGACCCGCTGTGACGTGGAAATGATCAAGCGCATCCCAGAAGTCTGCGCCGCTGCAGATAAGATCGGGTTCTAGTTTTGCTGCGCCGCTTCTGGGACACATTTTTGAAGTTAGCGTAGCGCTAGACAGGATATCACAGTTTCAGTGTGAAACCCCGTCAATCTCCAACTAGAGCGATTTGACATCTCTGTAGATCACATCTATATGTGTGAGCCAACAGCTGATTGACTGCCTGCATGGTTCCAGACGTTTTCCAGGCTTTAGTGGAGACAGGGCATCAAACATGACTCCCTGAGTTTTAGCCTAAAGGCGGATTGTATTAACCCACAGCGTTTTGTGACCCCGCGAGTCCAGCAGCAGAGTTTGTCTGCTGGCATGCAGCTAAAGTCAACGTTCCACTCTGCTGACGCCTCCAGTGTGAAGTGTGGTACGTCTCCATCCGGAGCCCTGCAACTGCAGGTGGACATCACCACTAACTACTGGTGACAGACAGGTGCGCGACACCTACCTGAGCCCTCTTCTCCATCTCCTGACAGGAGCCCAGCTGCTCCTCCATCGCTGAGCGGATCTGGCGAGCCTCGTACTCCAGCTGGCGACGACTCATGTCTGTCTGAAGGGTGAACTGAGACACGCCAATATCAGCATCTACACCTCCCAGCATGCACCTCACCTACATCGGCGTTTAATCCCTCCACCAACCCCCCTCCTTCAGCAGGAGTGTGTGTGTGTGTGCATGTGTGTGTGTGAGAGAGAGGGATTGGAGAGCCCAACCTAAAGTCCTCAACCTCTGCTTCCTCCTGATTAAATTATACGTTTTTATTATCCTTTCTGGTTTGTTTTTGAAAATCAGGTGAATTGTTTTTCTAATTTATTATTGGAGCTATCAGACCTCCAACTTGGTGTCTTTAAATGTGCATTCAGGCAAAGTCCACCTACTGAAATCAGCACCCAGGTGGCGGGTCTCAGATATGAAGGTGAAGCAGTGTTGTTTACACCGCCGACCTGACGGGGGCAGCAGCGCGCCCGTGATGCCGTTAGTCTGCCGTTCTCATTAAAGGAACTAGTGCTGTACGATACTGCAAAATGTGGTATCGATCCGATACCAAGTAAATACAGGGGCTGGTATTGCCGATACTGATACTTTTTACTACTAGTCTAGTACCATCTAGTGTTGTGGGATTTATTAAGATAAATAGAATCAATAAAACTTGAGTTTTCAGACAAGATTCTCATACTGATGATGTCATCAATATGAGAATCTTGTCTGAAAGCTCAAGTTTTATTGATTACTTAATTATTTCGTAAGTTTTCCTTTAATAAATCGTGTGTACGATTTAAAGTACAGGGAACATTTTCAGGCAAATAAAGTTTTCATTAGGAAACTCAAAATGGTTTAAAAATGGTTAACACGCTCCAGATTTTTTTCTATTTGAAATCTTTAAAGCTGTGTAAAAAAATCCAAACGGCGCTCCTTTTTCGGTCTGCCATCACGCAGCCGCGACATTGCTCTCTGCTCTTTTTGAACATCTTAGGTGTGTTCTTGCTGTGTCGTGGGTCTAATTCCATGCTTTTGTTCTTTTTAAACACAGAAACAGTTTTGTTTACCTGTTTTGTAGCTACAGTTTCGCCGACGGCTGCCGGCTTCTTCAGGCTGACGCTGATGGTGGCGCGTCACTTCCTTCTCCGTTTATCTGCGGGCGGCAGAGGACGTTGTCGCCCTCTACTCCCCGCTCTCCCCTCTCCGACGAGAGCACCATCAGCGTCAGCCTGAAGAAGCCGGCAGCCGTCGGCGAAACTGTAGCTACAAAACAGATAAACAAAACTGTTTCTGTGTTTAAAAAGAACGAAAGCATGGAATTGCTCTCTGCTGTTCTGTGCTTGTCTCGTGCTGGAGCGCTGTTTTACTTGTTTGACTGACATCCGTGGCGTTCCTATCACAGCGCTTTACTGGTTTGTTGGGCCAATCACGGCGCTCTGTTAGCGAGGTAGACGGTGTCAGTCCAGCTTCAGTTGCTGAGTGCAGTTGGACTCAGCAGCTGAAGCTGGACTGCTGAGCAGAACGCTGCAGCTGATGCTACCTTTAGCTTTTGAGAGACGGGAGGAAAGTTGTCACATACATCATTCTCTTTGACCATCACGTAGCCATCGCTGCAGTCTGACCAACCCTGGCACCGTAGTTGTTTCCCTAAATCTAATTTTCTTTACTTCAGCTACATCTTCTCCAGCCTTCGTTTTGTTGTAACCTCAGGATTAGTGTGGGATCCCAATCCACCACAGTAAAGCAGCTGAAGTCCAACATTACAGCTGATTTTGTCAGAAACTGCACCAAGGGGGAGGACCAGTTTGTGGCAGAGCCACCACTTTATGCCACGACACCGGTATTCGCCTGTTTTCTAGATGCATGTCTGAGGGGAGGAGGTCGGACCTCTGCATTTTACTTTTTGAGTGATAATATTTTCAGAAGCGTAGCTGCTACAACATGTTGTCCCGAGATCGTCTAACCCACCCCAACTTTCTAGGTAGAAGTTAAAGGTTTTACGTTTTCGGTGAGGGGCAGGTTATCGATCCTCTTGGTGAGGTTCTGCAGCTGAGCGTAGTACCAGTCTTTCTCCTTTTCCTCTTTCTCCAGTTCAGACAATAAAAGTGACCTGTGAAGGAGAAGCAGCCAATCACACAAAAGAAGATGAGTTTGCCAGATCAGCTGATTTGTGACTTTATGGTTATAGTTTAAGATCCTCCTTCTCACATATAAAGCTCTTAATAATCAAGCTCCATCATACATCAGTGACCCGATTGTTCCATACGTTCCTAACCGAGCACTTCGCTCTCAGACTGCAGGTTCACTGGTGGTTCCCAGAATATCTAAAAATAGGATGGGAGGCAGATCTTTTAGTTATCAGGCTCCTCTCCTGTGGAACCAGCTCCCAGCTTTAGTCCGTGAGGCAGACACCTTGTCTACTTTTAAGACTAAGTTTAAAATATGTTTATTTGATAGGGTCTATGGTTAAAACCTGATGTTATTCCAGATCTGGACAAGTGGGGGAGTAGAGGGAGGAGGAGTGTACAGTCGGTAAAGACGTCTCTCCCTTGCCCCGCATCCAACATGCCTCCATCTAAAAGGCTAGGTTATCCAGAGTTATCTCTGTAGTTATGCTGCTATAGGCTTAGACTGCTGGAGGACACACTGACCACTTTCCACACCCTGCTAATTTTTCTGCCAATACTCTTTCGTTCGGGGGTATTCAGTTCCGAGTCCTAGAGGGCCGGGTTTTAACCGTCTCAACACACCTAATTTCAATCACCAGGCTTCTGCAGAGCCTGATGATTTGCTGCACAGGTGATTCAACCACTGAATCAAGTGTATTAGAGCTACAGCTACGTACTAGGTAAGGATTAGAGTTACTTTTCAAAGGTCAGGTTAACCTTTTGAATTCAATACAAACAGCAGAAGATCTGAAGACTTTCGCTTGGGCGACATATGGAGAAATGACTGAATTTGGTGGTGAAGAGTAAAAATCATAAATTTGACTACTTTTCTCCTAAATGAAAGCTTAAGATCACAGAGAGCATGACTGTTTGTTGTAGATGTTACAGGATCAAAAACTAATTTGAATGGAAGTCAATGGGACGTTTTGTCCACTAAGATCAGTCTGTTGATACACAAAAAGCATCGATGCAAAAGCTTTTATTTTTTAGATCGTTCATAACATGACCAATACTGATTTATAATAACGCCCCAGGAAGAAAAAGTTGTTTATTTGGAAAATAACACATTTTTTCTGGGGGTTTTTTCTTCATAAATTACAGAAATGACTGAGTGATCAAACTGGCATTTGTTAAAATCCTCAAAATGATGAAATTTTTATGTTTGTGCAGGTCAAGGGTCACTGAGCTTACCAAACCAATTCCAAGTTCCAGTAATTAGGCCTAAAAGTTTTGGAATGAATAAAATGACAGTGCTCACATGTAACACCTGCCTAATTCTGTTTATTATTGCACACTATCTGTACATCCTTAAAACTTTTTCACTTCTCAAACATCACTGCGTGTTTCCCATGTCAGACATTTAACTGAAATGTTGTAACAGCCAACGATTTATACAGTAAACTCATGAAGATTAACAAACAGTTGTATCCTACTGTACACCGCTGTTCTGCTGAGCTGTGGTGGCCTCATGGAGGGGGCCATCGGCAAGCACACTGCTGCTAACCACTTAAACATTCAGACGTGTGTGTGTGCTAACCACTTAAACATTCAGACACACGTGTGTGTGTGTGTGTGTGTGTGTGTGTGTGCATGCGTGCGTGCGTGCGTGTGTGTGTGTGTGTGTGTGTGTGTGCGCTCTGTCTTCTCCATCCCCAGTGAGTCGTGGAGGATGGCTGCTTATACTGAGCCGGGATCCTCTGCAGGTTTCTTCCTGTTAAAAGGGACTTTTCCTCTCCACGGTCGCTGCATGCTTGCTTAGTATGAGGATTGCTGTAAAGTCACTGACACTAGTCAGTGACTCGATGCAACCTGCTGGGTTCCTTATATAGGAAACTTCTTACTGATTGGCTAAAAGAGCAAGTCACCCCCAAATCAACTTTTTTTTGCTGATTAACTAAACAAACGAGTGTCTAATCGTGCTGCAGACACGTGTCGTCAATAATTTGGCACTTCAGTGCATCTTAGTTAAAATTTAAATATTCTGCCTAAAACTGGCAGTGTTGTGCCATTGTCAGGTAAAAACTCTGCACTGTATTTGAATTTAAATCTGCCACCGCTATTGGCTAAGAGGTATGCTTTGATGTAAACTGGTACATTATGATGTCACAATGCTGTTGTGAGCCTGTGTGTGTGTATTTGTTAGCGGCTCCGCCCTCTCGGTCTGCCAGGCAACAGCATGTGTTGCATTTTTCAAACATGAAGTGGGAGTGGAGTTAGACTCTGGTAGGGGGTGACTTGCTCTTTAATGACCTGACCTGTGTTGTATGTTTACTGTGTGAAGTTTTTAAAAAAAGTTCATTTCCTGCATTTAAGTGGCATCATCTAGAGTGCTACAACCCCCCAAGGCACTTTGAAAACCTTTCGTTCTCCAGCTCCTCCAGACAGCGATCATGGCCGTCTCTGCCCACAGATGGCGGTCCTCTCCGGGAAAAGGCAGAAGCCACAGAAGAACCCAAAGCTCCAGCACCCACAGCTGCTCCAGAGGAAGAGGAGGCCGAGCTTGAGGAGGAAGGAGGCAGAGCAGGCCTGGTCTTGGGCTTGAAACCGGCCGAGTCCAGACTTATCCCTACTGAACAAAACCGAACCCAGTGAGGAAGCACCTTGGAGTAAAACATGTGGCATGTTTGTGTGTTTCTTTTATTCACCTTTTAGTCTTTCTATCAGCTCCAGCTGAGAGCCAGACACCTCTCCTGACTCTTCTTCTATGGTTCCCTGCAGCTGCTTCAGCACTTCCTGTAACACAATGAGAAGGTCAAAGGTCAGCCAGAGAATGTGTTTCTCAATGCCAAGGAACCTCGCCTTGATGTACTGGCCCCGCCCCGGTTGTCATCAGGAGCCCCCAAGACGTGTTCCAAAGTTCACGTTCTACCGAGGCGTGTGTTTTCCGTTTGTTAGCCGTTTAGCTAGCTGAGCGAGGATACACGGGAGGTGTCTTGTAGCCTAGCCTTGGTCAAAAATTACCCAGAATACGTCGCAGTATTTTCAAAAGGGACGGCAGATCAGAAGCCAGCAGCTACTTCGGGGACAATTTTCAAATTTAAAAATAAGTCAGCTAATTAAAAATGTTCTTTTTAGATCCAAAGAAGTTATCTATGGTAGTTAGTTGCTTAGTAGTTGCAGCTTTGGTGGCTAGCGGTAAGTAACTCACTTATATTTTTAATTTAATAAACATAAACACAATGTAAAAAGTTAAAAGCTTGTTATATATTTATATTGAAACTAATACATATAAAATATAACGTTATCTCCCGTGTCACGTGACGTTACGTGGAAGCCGCGGTCATGTGATGCAAGTCTGTTCCATTTAACCGTTTTCTTTGACCAAGGAAGGACTGTGTCCTCGTAAGCAAGGCGCCTTGACATTGAGAAACACCATGAGTGAGAATCACACCTGTCAATCAACATTTATACAGCCACACACATGTACAGAAGCATGCACGCATGCACTAACGCATGCACACACATACATGCATCCAAGTACACTTGCACACACATGCATGGGCAGTATGAAGAAAAGACAAATGAGCAACTTGAGGTAATTTAGGGAGTCAAGGACACAGCTTGGAGGCTGGTGTCCAGCTAATAGCAAGCAGGGAGCTCATCTTATGCAGCTGCCAAGTGTTGGACATAATGCCTGACTGGTTGGATGTGCCTGGAAAACATCACCAGAGACTCAACTGGCTCCTCTTGATGTGGAGGAGCAGCGGGTCTACTCTGAGCCCCTCCCAGATGATCCAGTTTCTCCCTTTATCACAAAGGCTGATTTACCCTTCTCCATCAGCTCAAGTTAGGAGTTGCACCAGTTAAAGAACACCTTCTGTCATGGTTATATTATGGTTTATTATTAGAGACAGCAGCAGCTCAGGAGGTAGAGCAGGTTGTCCAGTAACCGGAACGTTGCAGGTTCAATCCCGGCTCCAGACAGAGAATGCTGCTGTTGTGTCCTTGGGCAAGACACTTAACCCACCCTTGCATGCTGGTGGTGGTCGGAGGGACCTGTGGCGCCCATGTACGGCAGACCTTGCCTCCGACAGTGCACCCCAGGGCAGCTGTGGCTACACCATAGCTCATCCTCACCAGTGTGTGTGAATTTGTGCAATTGGATGAATGACTACTTGTGTTGTGAAGAGACTTGGGGGGTTCTAGAACCTTAAGAAGGCACTATACAAATACAGCACATTTACCAGTTAAGTGGAGAGTGTTACAGACAAAAAAAGATTACTTTTATACTTGTTGATTAAATGTTAAAATGGCACTCCAAATTCCTTGTAAAAGATGGATACAATGCTTGCTGACTACATGCTAACTATTAACCCAGAAGGAGTTGGTCAAGTCCAACCCTGAAATGGTCTGCGCTCGGAAACTGCCAAGTTTCATTCGTGCATTTTCTGAGATGGGTACCAACTGGACTCATACTACGATGTGGCACTCTGAAGCCGATGTTGCTCACATGTTAGTCCAGCTGCAGAAATTCACCGTTTGCAATTCAGAGCTCTCTGGTGTTAACCGTAGGGAGAAACGTTTCCTCCCGGAGTTCTTTCCCCATTGCTAATGCACTTGGTTCTACTTTTAATTTGAGCTTGTTAGCCCAACATAGACGCTGTCAAACGTCATGTCATCGAGCTTGAAGGGTAGGTCCCTTCCCTGAGTAAGCTGGCGATTCACCAACATCATGGGATGAGGCTGCTAGGCACTTCTGACTTCCATTCTATGGTGGTCCTGAACACGCACAGCGAGGGGTTGCATAAGACCAGTGCTGCGGTAAATGAACTATGCTCATTGGTCTCGGACGATTACACCCACACCCAGCTGCTGACCACTTGCCTGTCCGACTATGGCTATGCTATTCCACTTTGGGCCGACCCCGACGCTAGAGAGCTAGCGTTCATCATCAACTTGCCGGTCATGTCCCCAGGGGATATCTACCAACTGAAGGAAGTGGTCGATGGTAACTGGGTGGATGATACTCAAGTCAAATTGCATGCGCTGCCAGGTGGTCGCTTTCCATGATGACACGTCAGACGTTCTTCTGGTCTCTGACCTGCGTGTGTGTTCTTCTCACGCGATCTTCCCTTCCTTTGTCCAGGAACCCCTTTTCTGCGTGACAAGACTGCAAGCTCGTGCGGTGTTGGGGCGATGGCAAATGACTCTAAGTGTCTAATGACAGTTACTCCCCGATCGCATGTGTTACAGACCACTACTGTTATTGTTGGTCTGCGCTGGTTAGTCAGCACCCCTGCGCTCTAGGCCAATGTTTACTATGATCGCCATGACATCTCCACTTAGGTGGATCTGCGATAAAAGACTTTGTGGGTGTCAGTCTCGCGTGGTGCTGTGGTCCACAGTGGTGAGGTCTCTATACTACTTGGATCCTGATGTTAAGCTGTCTCCTTTCTATGATATCTCCTCTGCTCTGTCTCCTGCTACAGTGAAAAGTGTCACTTTCGATGGTCCGACCATGGTTCAGGTTAGTGCTTTAGACAGAGTCCTGCATGAGCTTTCTTTAGGTTCTGGCCTCAGCTTTCAGCCTGTGACTCACTCCTGATCCTCTTCTGACTTTATTTTCCTCACTACACGTTTCAATTGCTGTCTTGTCACTTGGGTTGGCGTACGCGCTCTTCCATCACTTCTCTGCACGGTTGACCCTCGTGGGGGCCTCGATCTGTCTGTTGGGGAATCGATTAGACAAGGATCTGCTGACCAGGGTTCCACCTGGTATTCCCTAACCTCCGCCTGGTAACCCGCCTCTAATTCCACCTTCTCCTGCAGCAACATTAAGTGGGGGATGATTTTTCTCTCTTTATTTTAATCTCCCTCGTCCTCTGTTCTTTGTCGCCAGTTATCCAAGTTCTGTTTTGAGAGTATGCTGGTGTGCATGCATGTCATTTCATGTCTAAACATAACATACAGACTTGGGTGGCTTTCATGTTGTCATGCTGTGGGTTTCTGAAGATCTGAGTTGACGACTTGTTTCATGACAGCAAAGAATGGTTAAATCTGCTAACTGTTAAGATAAATCCAAATTAAAAATTTCTTTTCATTTTCAATTTATAGATAGCTTTTAACATTTTTGACTTTTGTAATCAGGTGCATGTGTTTTATATTCACTATTTATATTTTACATTTTTCAGTGTCCCTACAGGTGCTGGCCAGTAAATTAGAATATCATCAAAAGGTTGAAAATATTTCAGTAATTCCATTCAAAACGTGAAACTTGTACATTATATTCATGCAATGCACACAGACCAATGTATTTCCAATGTTCATTACATTTAAATTTGATATTCATAAGTGACAACTAATGAAAACTCCAAATTTGGTATCTCAAAAAATTAGAATATTCTGAAAAGGCTGAATATAGAAGACACCTGCTGCCACTCTAATCAGCTGATTTACTCAAAACACCTGCAAAGGCCTTTAAAAGGTCCCTCCGTCTTGTTTTGAAGGCACCACAATCATGGGGAAGACTTCTGACTTAACAGCTGTCCAAAAGACAATCATTGACACCTTGCACAAGGAGGGCAAGACACAAAAGGTGATTGCTAAAGAAGCTGGCTGTTCGCAGAGCTCTGTGTCCAAGCACATTAACAGACAGGCGAAGGGACGGAAAAAATGTGGTAGAAAAAAGTGTACAAGCTCTAGGGATAACCGCACCCTGCAGAGAATTGTGACGACAAACCCATTCAAAAATGTGGGGGAGATCCACAAAGAGTGGACTGCAGCTGGAGTCAGCGCTTCAAGAACCACCACGAGGAGACTCATGAAAGACATGGGATTCAGGTGTCGCATTCCGTGTGTCAAGCCACTCTTGAACAAGAAACAGCGCAAGAAGCGTCTCGCCTGGGCCAAGGACAAAAAGGACTGGACTGATGCTGAGTGGTCCAAAGTTATGTTTTCTGATGAAAGCAAGTTCTGCATTTCCTTTGGAAATCAAGGACCCAGAGTCTGGAGGAAGAGCGGAGAAGCACAGAATCCACGTTGCATGAGGTCCAGTGTAAAGTTTCCACCGTCAGTGATGGTGTGGGGTGCCATGTCATATGCCGGTGTTGGCCCACTCTGTTTCCTGAGGTCCAGGGTCAATGCAGCCGTCTACCAGGAAGTTTTAGAGCACTTCATGCTTCCTGCTGCTGACCAACTTTATGGGGATGCAGACTTCACCTTTCAACAGGACTTGGCACCTGCACACAGTGCCAAAACCACCAGCACCTGGTTCAAGGACCATGGTATCCCTGTCCTTGATTGGCCAGCAAACTCGCCTGACCTTAACCCCATAGAAAATCTATGGGGTATTGTGAAGCGGAGGATGCAATACGCTAGACCCAACAATGCAGAGGAGCTGAAGACGACTATCAGAGCAACCTGGGCTCTCATAACACCTGAGCAGTGCCACAGACTGATCGAGTCCATGCCACGCCGCATTACTGCAGTTATTGAGGCAAAAGGAGCCCCGACTAAGTATTGAGTGCTATACATGCACATTCTTTTCATGTTCATTCTTTTCAGTTGGCCAACATTAGAGAAACAAACATTTTTTCATTGGCCTTTAGAATATTCTAATTTTCTGAGATACCAGATTTGATGTTTTCATTGGTTGTCACCTATAAATATCAAAATTAAACGTAATAAACATCGGAAATACATTGGTCTGTGTGCATTGCATGAATATAATGTACAAGTTTCACGTTTTGAATGGAATTACTGAAATATTTTCAACCTTTTGATGATATTCTAATTTACTGGCCAGCACCTGTATTATGAGTTGGTGCTTTTTGGCGCTTACACATTAGCGTCCGCATGGTCGGAGTTTGGAGGGGCTGGATGGCGTGAGTTCGGCCTCTAACGGCGGTGTCGTATTCACATATAAATCAGTGACCCTAACCCTAACCCTTCTCAGGAATGTGGAAATCCCTGAGCCTGTGGGCGGAGTTTACTACACGCGGAAAAGTCCGCAGTGTCCTCCATTATAGCTAAACAAAGGCGGGCAAGAGATGTTTTGCTTTTGGAGACTCTGAACCACATAATTTTATTAATTTGCCGTGTGTGTCCTCATAATCTTGTGACACACACACACACACACACACACACACACACACACACACACACACACACACACACACACAGCTATTCTCTTCTCCCTTTCCAACACTGATCTGCAGCTCTGGAACAGCAGCTCTGTGCTACAGACAGAAATTTACTCAACAGCAAAAACATAAATTGCGCATGTGTAACGTATCAAAGGTCAAATGTTCACCAACAAATTGACCAGAAAGTAACCTTTCATCTGAAGACATAAACCCACAGTCCGTCTGGCCTCCAAATCCAGAAAGTTCTGCTCAGTTCCTGTTTCCGTACAAGAGGACAAAACATCTTTGCTCACTGCTGAATCCCCACTCTAAATAAATGTCAACCTACTCGAAGTCCCTACTGACTTTAAAACTCAGAAGTTGGAAAAATCATGTGTTGAATGAACAAGATGTTTAAATCAAATGTTTGAATAATCTGTGCTCTAATTAATATTAATATACTCGAACACATTATAATAAGTAACATTCACTTCACATAAGCGTTTAAAACATTCTCATTCCCACAAAGAGTTAACCTCTCGGAGGATTGGAGTGAAGTGTGTGTGTCTGCTCTGTCTTCTCGATCCCCAGTGAGTCGTGGAGGATGGCTGCTTATACTGAGCCGGGATTCTCTGGAGGTTTCTTCCTGTTAAAAGGGAGTTTTTCTCTCCACTGTCGCTTTATGCTTGCTTAGTATGAGGATTGCTGTATAGTCACTGACACTAGTCAGTGACTTGATGCAATTAGCTGGGTTCCTTATATAGTAAACATTATTTCTGATTGGCTTAATGAACTGTGAATTGGAATGTTTATTATGTGAAGTGCCGTGAGACGACTCTTGTCGTGATTTGGCGCTATATAAATAAACTTGAATTGAATTGAGTGAAGGCGTGACGTCTGAGAAATGTTTTGATAAAGTCCTCAAACGTGTCAAATTCTCATTTGCCAAATTTATCAACAATGTGGTTTTAACGAACCAGAAATTACTTCACGATTAATTCAGTTTCCAGCTGACTCCCGATTCGGCCAAATCGGGGAAGAAGCCTTCTGAAACCATCTACTCCTTTGACCTTAAGTCAAAAGCCTTTGTGACGCTGCGGGTGATTACAGACAACAGCTCTTTTCAGAGCTACTTCACACCTGAGACACCTAACCTGCAGACCCCCGAGTTGCATCCCATGGCTGGGGAAGCTGAACTCAAAGGAAGCTACTAATCTTTGAGTCTTGTGGCCTCGACGTCCGGTGACTCACCACTCGGGCCGCCCTTCCTCTAGACCGCCGGGAGCAACTCATACAAAAGGGTCTTGTAGGCTGCACACTGGCATCGGATGGTTTTTATGAACAAATCTGTAAAACATCTAGTTCCATTACAATACCCCATACATCACATTAATCCACTTCATATCCATCATTCCATTCACACCTTGTCTTGTGTAACGTGATGAAGGAGCCATTTCTCGAGGTTAATATCCTCTAACCACTGTTCCCTTTGACACGGCGCCAGAGTGCATGAAACAGCCTCAAGGTCATGCATTCGCTTCTAAACTGTTTACGTTCCAGCAAGGAAGACAGAAGATGAAGACTCTTTTCTTTTCTTTCATTAGATCAAAGAACTCTATTTTCAATAAAGCTAATCAAAATAACTGATGGTCAATAATACAATGTGACCGATCTGTGAAATCACAATATTATGATTAATATGTTTTAATAAGTAAATGACTTATTCTAGTCACTAGACACACTGATACACTAAGGTAAATAATCACACGACCCATTGCTGTTGCTGATCCAATCAGAACCTTCCCCGTCTGAAGCGTGGCAGAGTCTCTGTGGTATTTATAAATCTGTCAGCTTTGATTCGTCCAGAATCAAAAACATCCAGATAAATAAAACGGTTCCAACGCCATCTTAAGTCCAGTATTCAAGATCCCTTGGAGTTCACCGCATGTTAAGCGAAGTATGGACAGGCCATCTGTACTTTTCTTTTTAAGCTAAGAACTATCAAGCTGGGAAAAATCTGTCGTTGTTATCAACCAACAACGGTTCCTTCAGAATAAAAGCTGAACCCGCAGACCCAAGGACGGTCCTCTTTTTGACGCTGTGAAACACCTGTCGCTTTTTACCTGGAGACAATCCAAGGACTAGTCTGTCATGCTGTGACGCTGTACCATTGGCTCCAGTACCAGAAGGAAGGTCCGAGGACCTGGGCATTCTGGATCCATCGTGGAGGTCTCACTGAAGGGTATGTGGAAGCGACAAAACTGGCGTCTCATGTGTTTATGACCAAGGGGCTCAAACTTGATCAGTTAGGAGCAAAACATCATCTCCCACTCAACTTTGCTTCTCCGGATGCGGAGGTTCTGAACTTGACATTATTCACACACACTATTCACCTCACACTTCATTCCAACATTCATCATTAGTGAGTTAGTGGTGTTAAATTGTTTAAAATTATTTAGTAAATAAATTTCCTTAAACGTTTGAAAGTCTCTCTCTCTTCTCTTGTCTCTCAGTTAATGCAAAGTGTTATTATTATAAAGTCACTGTAATAAAAAGATCCAATCTTCTGATTTAAATAACCCAGTGTCCGTAAGATGGGATTCATACTAGATATGGATCTTTAATGTCTTATCGTCCTTAATTAAATGTAATTCTAATCCATTACACTTGTATAATCAGTAGTTTTGGGAAAATAAATAACTTCATTTTATGAACTATATACTGACTCTGTCTGAATTAATACGAAGTGTGTTTATGGTCCCTGAATAAGTAAAGTAACTATAATCTTCTGATTAAACACTGAAAGATCAATCAGGTTGATATTTCATATTTATATGGAATTATCACATCTAATTGATCATTTAAACAAATATGTAGTCAATCATCACACTATACACGCTTACAAAAAATAAAAAATTATGAACAAAAAGTTCTACTAAAAAGAAAAGTTTTTAGTCCTTAAAACTGCCTGTAGGTTGGTGTCCTGTGTGTGTTTTTGGTGATGTACTGAGTTCCACCAGATGTCCTTGTTGCCAGAGAGGACATCACTGCCATCTCCTACCATCTCTTGGCATGTGCTTCCCTCCAGCTCTGGATTATGCTCTGGGGTTCCTGCCTTCCGGCTTCGCCATGTTTCCTGCCTTCCGGCTTCGCTATGTTTCCTGCTTGCTTCTCCTCATGGTCCCTGCCTGTGGATATTGCTAAGTTTGGATTAGAATGTGCTGATTGGGATGTGTACTGGCTTTTCTGCTGTGTGAGGGTTTGGTTTTCCTCACTCTTGTTGCTTTTGGTGCCTTGGAACTAACCATCTTCATCAGCTGCAGGGGGATATGTAGCGTGGCTCAGGCCTGAATTTCATCAAGTAGCCGAAAGTTAACTTTCTTTAACACACAGGTCGTGCCAACCTGACACCAGGAGGTCCATTTTGAATATCTCCTAACTTGTGCATTACCCATATCACAAGACACCAACATGCCTGAGGACACAAGACTGCTTATCCATCTCCTTCTAAGAATGCTACCTTTAGTTTTGGCTCATAGAATAACTTTTCAAACTTACAAGGTATTTATAAACATTATGTTTACCTGCAACATATTTTAAAACTAAAGGGTTTTAATAATGATGAATGCTCTACAATAATGAATAATGAGTTGACACTAATGTTCATTCCTACAATGATTTCAGATTTCATTTAAACCAGATTAGTCTCCTTGCATAATTTAATATTGATTTATTGACCAGTATATTCACACATTAATATGATTATGAATGCTTAATATATTTACTTCACATTAATGTTTGACATTTTTACTCACGAAGAATTGCACGAGGGGATCAGTAAACAGTGTAAGGTCACTTGTATGCTCCACAGAAACTAAACTTAGCTAAAAGCTGGACATTTTGTGCAGTTTTATGGCTTTATGTCAGACTCTGAACCAGGAAATGGCTGCAGGCAGTGAAACACAGGCACGAGATCCCATACCAACACGAGATCCCATACCAGAGGTCAACTATGGAGTAAAAAGTGACTCCGCCCCCTAGCCAATCAGCGGTCAGAATCACAATGCCGGCCCGACTCAGCCTTGCCAGGTACCTCAGAGACTAAAAACAGGGAGGAAATAAAAGCAGAATATCGAACCGTGTCCTTGGGAACGGTGGTCGGGCCGAGCTGCATTAGTTCAAGTTGCTCTGAGTAGTGTTCCTGGAAAAACACCTTAGGTGCGGTGTGAACCTACCACCCTCCAGTTACAGAGGGGACCTTAACCCCCACCAGTTCTAAATAAGGTAGAATGTTTTACCCTGAAGCCAAACCCAGCAGTCCTACCTGCTGTGGTGCTCACCTTCATGTTCGAGGCCTCCGTCTCCAGCTTGGTCAAATGGTTGGAGTTGTCCTGCAGCTCCTGTCTTAGGTTGGAGTTCTCCATTTTCAACACTTCAACCTGCCTTAGAAGCTGGTCATAGGATGCTGCTGCCATGTTGGACTGCTTACGTCTGACCTGCACAGATGGAAAGCCAACAGAACTCAGGGATTCAACTCAAATAAATACAGCTAAACGTCTATTGGAGCGTATGCCATCTTGTCTACGAGACAGACGGATCTACGTCACACTGTAACTTTACATTCATGGATTCGTCCATCTTGACTCGCGACAGGGAAGGCTGTTGTTGATTTTGCGTCAAGGAAGCTAAGTACTGTAAGTAAGCTAAACGCCTCTTTTTAGTAGCTAACATCAACAGAGAGCTAGATTCAATCATAGGTGTAGGAAAACCAGTAGTGATAATGATTTTATTACCTTTAGAACACGTATATATGTCACGTATTTGACCTCAGGTCAAAACACTGCTCTGCAACACTTGAGAGTGATTTCAGACGCAACGGCTCATTTAGGGACCTTAGACGCCGTCTCCAGAAGATAACCCAGACTAGACGGGTCTCATTCTGAACTGCCTACGAGATCCCATACCAGAGGTCAACGCCATCAACAGTGTCCATCTCAAACTCCTGACCCCCTGGATCATTGGGGGTCTACACACATGGGTGTGTAGACCGTCAAAAAATGCATCGGATGGTTTGATAGTCTCCTTCATACTCCAGTGTTACTTGTGGAGTACCACAGGGTTCAGTGCTTGGACCAATTCTTTGTACTACATATATATATATATATATATATATATATATATATATATATATATATACGCTTTATGTATTTAGCAGACGCTTTTGTCCAAAGCGACTTACAAGTGATAATCGGCATGTTGCCCTTGAGGCCAACAACAACAACAACAACGACTTGACATCAATCATGGAGAGGAGGGAACAAAGGAGTGGGCGGTAGAGAGGGGGGATGGATGCAGGGAAGGTGCTAGTTAAGAAGATGATCTCTGAAGAGCAGGGTCTTCAGGAGTTTCTTGAAAATTGAAAAGGAAGCCCCTGTTCTGGTAGTGCTTGGAAGGTCATTCCACATTTGTGGAACGATGCATGAGAAAAGTCTGGATTGTCCTGAGCGTGGTGTAGGCACTGCTAGCCGACGATCCTGTGATGACCGGAGCGGCCGGGCCAAGACGTAAGCCTTTGCAAGAGGATTCAGGTAGATGGGAGCCGTACCATCTCGGACTTTGTATGCTAGTGTTAGCAATTTGAATTTGATGCGTGCTGCTAGCGGTAGCCAGTGGAGCTCAATGAACAGAGGGGTGACGTGTGCTCTTTTTGGCTGATTGAAGACCAGACGCGCCGCTGCGTTCTGGACCATTTGAAGAGGTCTCACAGTGCAGGCTGGAAGACCAGTTAGAAGGGCATTGCAGTAATCGAGGCAGGAGATGACAGTAGATTGCACCAGGAGCTGGGTGGCATGTTATGTATATATATATATATATATATATATATATATATATATATATATATATATATATATATATGCTTCCAATTGGTATAATAATTACACAGCATGAGATAAACTTCCACTGTTACGCTGACAATACTCAGTTATATCTAACCAATAACCCTGACGAACCTAATCGGTTAGTTAGATTACAGGCTTGTCTTGAAGACATAAAAAAAATTGAATGACTAAACTTTCTGCTACTGAATCAAGACAAGACTGAAGTTCTCATCTTTGGACCTGAAATTCAGAAAAGGAAATTGCTTAGTCAATCACCTGACCTGAATGGTATTACAGGGTTTTTCCTGGCTCAAATTGAGGCAGAGGTGGTACCATCCTGACCATGCGCCAGCACATGCATACTCTGTGCATTCAACTGCCTCACTTTTTTAAAGGCAAAATATTATGAAAGGCACAATAATATGCATTAGATTTGTGTTTAGTTCCCTTTGTCCCATCTGATATTTATAGTTAAAAATAATTTTAAATATTTGACTTACATTTCAGTAACATTTTAGGTTTGTATTAATAATCCTCATCTTGGTCAACATTTACATTTTGCCTTGGCCCCCAAAGTGCCTTGAAAAGGCCCTGGGTGTGTGACTGAGTTTTGAAGGTGATCTGAATTGTATCAGATGTATAAATATTACATGTGTATAACTTATTGTTTTATACAGGTAAAAAAAGCGTAGTGGAGATAAATCTACCTGCATTTTACTTTCAAACACTTTGTTTTGTTTTGTTGTTTTTATTTAACTATTTCCTGTCCTGTGTTTCTCATCTTCCTGCATCTCCTCTAAACTCTCCAGAAAAACTGCTGCCTGGATTCTTACTTTTTCACCTCATCAGTTACTTTTGAGCAGATCAAAGGGATCTCCTGACCGTAAAGCGGAATGCGCGTTTCGATGCTGCGTCAGTGAGGTGACATCACCGCAGCACACAATGAGCAGAGCGCGTCAGGAACAATTACAAGACAGGACCAGAGGATATAAACAGATATGAATGATCATGTGTTAATAATAGTTTTGTTGCACCACCTTGAGAATGTATCGTACGCCGGACGCAGTGGGCGCACCAACGATCAGCGCTCTGCATCCTCTCCGCTCAACAGAATCCCGCTACGCTGAGAGTCCATAAATATTGCAATATAGACAGAAACTGGATCTTTCCCTGAAATATATCTAGCCCCCATAACTCGATCCCTGCTCCTGGATGAAAAACTGGACATTTTGATCAATATAGCTGGGGGCAGAGTGAAATCAGGCTGGGGCAGCACAAAAATAGCTGGAGGCCGCCACTACGCAAATGTGAACACAGGCAAACCCTGCATTATATTAGTCTCTGAGAACAAAGTAAGGAACCTTGGTGTTATCTTTGACCAGGACATGTCTTTCAAATCCAAAGTTAAACAGGTTTGTAGGATTTCCTTTTTCCACCTTCGGAATATTGCTAAGATTAAAAGCATCCTTTCCAGGAGTGATGCTGAAAAACTAGTTCATGCATTTATTACATCAAGACTGGATCACTGTAATTCATTACTCTCAGGAAGTCCACAGAATGTAGTTAAAAGTCTTCAGCTTGTCCAAAATGCTGCAGCTAGAGTTCTTATATCTCTCCTAGGGCCGTAGCGGTAACCGCAAGAAGAAAATATCGCGATATTAAGAAACCCACCGCGCTGCAGGACGTGCCACCGCCATTACCGCACTTGATTAAATCTCGCGACAGCGCATGCTGAGAGGTAAAGTCCGCGCTGATCGAGGAGATAGTACACATGGAAGATGGAGGGAGCAGTGCCAGTGCGTCAGCTGCAGCCCAGCCAGAGACCTTGGAGCAGGCAGTGCTGCCACCAGCGGCAAAGAAAAAAACGCTTGGAGACCTGCTGAAGTCACGGACAAGGACGTCTTCTGCAACCGTCCCAAAGAGAGTTAGAGCCGAGCTGGAGCTCACTCGCTACCTGCAGGAGGAACCCATTGACCCTAATGAAAACCCTCTGATATGGTGGCGCAACAACCATGAGAGATTTCCATTGCTCTCCAAAGTCGCACGTAAGTACATGTGTATTTGCGCAACAAGCGCACCACCCGAGAGGGTTTTTAGTGTCGCTGGAAATGTTGTCACCCCTCTCAGATCCTCTCTCAAACCGCATAAAGTTAACATGCTGGTTTTCCTTGCGCGTAACAAGGACATGACCGAGTTATGTTATTCTTGTGTGTGAAAGTGAAATGACAGTGCCTAGGACATCTCATTTTGTATACTTTATTTTAAACTACAAAACAAAACGGGCACTTGTTTTATTTCTGTTATATGTTGCAGCCAAATTTGCATTTCAAAATTAAACCTCCTGAATGTCGTTTCTAAGTTCAGTCAGAAAATGCCGTAACTGCCCTTCGATCTGCATTCAATAAAGTGTTAAAAACGGCCATGTATTTTTTCTAACATTTTTTAAATGTGTACGCACAATGTTTCAAAGGAAATATTGCCATGAGTTTAGTAATCAACAAACAAATTTGCTAAGTACATATATAAAAACGGGGTGCAATAATATCGCATACCGCAATATTGAGCTGCCCTGACTCACCGCAGGGGGAATTCCTCAACCGCGACAGCCCTAATCTCTCCCGTCTTAGCTTCCCTACAGTGGCTGCCTGTTAAATTCAGAATAGATTTTAAGATCCTTCTTCTCACATATAAAGCTCTTAATAATCAAGCTCCATCATACAGTGTGGAGTGCGCTCATGTGAAACCAGCAACACAAAATGAAGGGGCAGATGATCAATAACTGTACAAAAAAAGATGGAGAACAGATGGATGAGAGCTGAGCAGAGAAAATATCTTATTTTGAAACATCGGAGGTGAAGTAACATTTCAGGAGCGAATAAGAAGAAGGGGGCGGTCCCGTGCACAAACCAAAACGCCCCTTTTAGCGGCTGGCCGGATGATATTGCCATGGGGATGGGTCAAAGGCAGAGATGAATTTCACCAGTGTGTGATGATGACAATGGGACTTTAACTTAAAAATCGGCTTAGATATCGGCCACCAGCTGACCATGACTTCTACATATAAATAAAGAAAAACCCATATCGGTAGTGCAGAAAACCTCAGACAGCTTTTTAAACTCTGGGGTGCCAACTTGAACACACACACACACACACACACACACACACACACACACACACACACACACACACACACACACACACACACATCGGCGGCGCTGGTCAAAAAGGGCTGTTTCTCCTAAGTGTGAGCGGCTTCCCCTCCAGACAGTGAATCAGCGATGCGAGCTGCCACCATCTACAACAGCAGAGGCGGTTTTGTGTGAACGTCTGAGGAGCTGATCAAGGACCTTTCTCTAGCAACTGCCACCGCTGGACACTGCCTGGCCCTGCGGTATCTTCTGAAGACCTACAGGCTACCCATGTCCTACAGACCTCCTTCTGCAGCCAGACTGCTCCACTAACATGTGACATCCACCAGAGGGCTCAAGGGTTACCACCACAAGTAGCATCAGATACCTTATAGCCGCAGCTAGCAGTGGTTCCCTCTTTATGTGTATTTTTAAGGTAGCAATAGTAGTAGCACTAGAGTACTACCAGCTTGTGGTACCACACAAAAC